TAACCATCTTGTAAAGAGATGAAAACAGGTTTTGTCCATTACTCTGTAGCCTGAGTCTGTATCAGTAGGGCACAGTACATCGATTGGTGTGATAATCAATTTTTTAATTAGGAATAAACAAAAGAAGTTCAGTAGTCAAAATAAGTATTGCTTCATTTATTTCCCTCCCTTGTAACTTTTGAATATTTTAAATCTGATTTTTCCAGTTTTATTGAGAAATAATTGACATACATCACTGTGTAAGTTTAAAGTGTACAGCATGATGGTTTAATTTATATATATAGTGAAATGATTACTACAGTAGGTTTGGTTAACATCCATCACCTCACAGATACAATAAAAAGAAAAGAAAAATAATTTCTCCTTGTGATGAGAACTCTTAGGATCTGCTCTCTTAAAGTTTCTTATATATCATACAACAGTGTTAACTCTAGTCATCATGTTGTACATCACATCCCTAGCACTTACTTCTCTAACTAGTAAGTCTGATTTTTAGATAGAATGATTTCCATGTTATCAAGTCATTTTTTCAAGTTTAGCCTAATTTTAAGAACAGTTCCTTATAGTATTTTAATGCTATAAAATTTTATTTTTATTAATTTCTTTAAAAAAGTTTATCTGATGCTCTGAATTACGTTGAAGAGAATAAAGGAAACATTTAGGGGAGGTAAGGGGAGGATATTTAAAGTTATCAGGAGAAGGGGTCATATGAAAGGGAGAAACTAATATTTCAGAGAATTAAGGGTTTTTTAAATTGAATTTTATTTATTTTTTTATACAGCAGGTTCTTATTAGTTATCCATTTTATACATATTAGTGTATATATGTCAATGCCAATCTCCCAGTTCATCACACCACTACCACCTGCCCCCCTCGCCACTCTCCCCCCTGGTGTCCATACGTTTGTTCTCTACATCTGTGTCAGAGAATTAAGGTTTGTCTTTCAGGACAAAAAGAGTAAGTATGAAAAATTAAACAGATATTTAAATGTTAATATTCCAGCCTAGGAGCACTTGTATCCACAAGAGGGCATTACTGTGTAACTCGGACTGTGTTTGAGTGCTGAGTTTCATAGATAGATGAGCTACAATGGGCCTCACAACTTTTGGTTATCTCAGAAGCTCTCTCTTCCCATTTGTGCTCTGCCAATACTCCCACTCCCTACATTTACTTTCTTTGGCTGTCCACCTTTTCTAGGTTCTTCTTCCTGGCAAGAGCCCCTTCTTGCTAGAGACTTTTTTCTCTTAAAAAGTAATTAAGGGGCTTCCCTGGTGGCGCAGTGGTTGAGAGTCCGCCTGCCGATGCAGGGGACGCGGGTTCGTGCCCCGGTCTGGGAAGATCCCACATGCCGCGGAGCGGCCGGGCCCCTGAGCCATGGCCACTGAGCCTGCGCGTCCAGAGCCTGTGCTCTGCAACGGGAGAGGCCGCAACAGTGAGAGGCCGCAACAGTGAGAGGCCCCAGTACCGCAAAAAAAAAAAAAAAAAAAAAAAGTAATTGAGGGCTTCCCTGGTGGCGCAGTGGTTGAGAGTCCGCCTGCCGAAGCAGGGGACGCGGGTTCGTGCCCCGGTCCGGGAAGATCCCACATGCTGTGGAGCGGCTGGGCCCGTGAGCCATGGGCGCTGAGCCTGCGCGTCCGGAGCCTGTGCTCCACAATGGGAGAGGCCACAACAGTGAGAGGCCCGCGTACCGCAAAAAAAAAAAAAAAAAATGTAATTGAGCTGTGCACCATCCTTCTTCATCTCTGAGACTTCGGTATAGTTCTGAGTGGTTGACTCAGACTTAACTCTGGTTTCTAAATCTAGGTGCATTCCCAGGTCCTTTGTGGTTTTAAAATTTCTGGTTGTTCCTTCACAGGCTAAATGGCAGTAGTGTTAATTTTATATCCTTGGGAGGCCAAGATCTAAGCTAGCAGGAAAGGCCTTCATGGTTCTTGGTTGTCTTTCTGTCCTAAAGAATCAGAGTCACAGCCTTTCAGTATTACTTGCATGATCAGTGAATGCCATGGTGTAGATCTTTCAGTTTACTTTACATTTCTTCCTTGGTTTTCTAAGAAAGAAATAGGTATCTCTGCTCTAAACTTCTAAGAAGTTTAAAAACATTCACATGATTAACTCATATATGTTAATATTAAATCTTTTGTACCATTTTTAAAGCCTTGTTTTAGGCTATTTTATATACAGAACTGTGGAGTAAAGGTAATCTGATTGAATCACTGTTCTTACTATGCAAATCATATCTCAGATATTTGGCAAAAGCTAATTAATAATAGCTTATGTTATTTCTAAAGCTGATTGTACTCTTAAACCATCTTTAAAAATGAACTCTAGAATTAAGCCCTTTCTGAGATTTGAGAGACTATGAGTTATTTAGTTTTTTTTTAACCTCCCTGGATGCATGCTTTTATTCATTTGGGGGGGTCATTTATTGGAGTCTGGGAATATAGTGACATTGCCTTATTGTGCAAGTACTGTATTCTTTGATTTTTCTAGACTAACTGGGTTAAAATATGGTAGTCACCAAATAACACTACCTTTCCCTTTTTTCCTGTTAACATTCCTCCTTTTTCAGTGATAGTAATTTTCTTTTTCCAGGTTTGTCCCTTCTGTGGTATAGATTATTTATTATTGAAAGATGAATTTGGTGGGCCAGATAATAACATTGAGTCCTTAATTAGTCTCTTATCAGCTGGCTTGAAAACTATCTTTGGTTGAAAGAATATAGTTCTGGGATGGAGATTTTTATCTAATTACAAATTTGAAGTTATGGTGATTTATCTTGCTTCTGGCTGAGAAACAGTGATAATTTGGTTGCATCACCCGTGTAACTTATTTTTTATTTCTGAAACTTTTATTTGAGAATTGGCTAGTTTAGTGTATTTATGTATGTATAATTACTATTTAACCTGTTTTCATAAAGGATTTGAGGTAACGTATTTTTCTTTTAATGTAGTCTTAACCAATTAAGATACTGGTGATGAACGTATTAAGTGGAATCATAGATATTTGAAGACACCAGAAAGGGGAAAAAACATTAACTGGAAAAGAATTTTATAATTTATCACAAATAGATTGATAGGAATATTACTGTTTGTCTCAAATCTTTCCTATATGTATACTTAGAAAAATTATTTTCCTAAGCCTGAAGTTAACTTTGTAATTTAAAGAATTCAAAATTTCTTCTTTGGAAATCTTTACTATGAAAACATTGTAGTAGTATAAATTTATTAAATTTATACTACTAAATATTTAGTAGTAAATTTATACTACTAAATATTTAGTAATTTATACTAAATAATTTAATAAACATATTTGTGCTTACAATGTAGTAGGCAAACCACTGTCCTGTATCAGTTGGAACTTAGACGCCTAGGGGAAGCCTCACAGTGAGTGGTGGACAAAAAGATGAGGAAAAATGTAACCTAAGAGAAATTAGGGGACATTACTATTCTTTTACTTCAGATACAAGTCTTGTTTAGCTATGAGTTATACATGCAGCCCCTAGCACAGTGGTATCATGATGTGAATTATATGAAGGCAATCTGGTTTTAGCATTGTTTCTGAGAGATTTAATCACAAAATTAGAAACCTTCTATTATGTTTTTATGGTCTTTTGAAATTTGAGCAAGAATTAACCACTGTATCTCAGGAAACAAACATTCTAGCTATGATTTTTTTTCTTCTAATCTTTTTATTGGTTTCCAGTAGAATTTGGCATTGAAAAATAAGGATGATCAGTTTTGTACCTATGTTTAAGATGTAATTCATTATACTAGTGCATTTTGTTAGATGAGCAAACCCACTTTTTACTGAAGCATATATAAACATTTAAACATAATTTTAAGGGTTCAGTGAATGTGACTATTCCAAAAACACAGACTTTTAATTAAATACATATTTCTTTAGATTGGTTTCTATATAACTAGGAACTTACTTTCTTTTCAGTAAACTATTAAAAGAAGGGCTTGCAGCACGACATAAAATATATTGGTCACTTAATATCGTACATTGAAGAATTATTTTTAAAACATACTTGGGATTGGGGTCATTTATGGTAAAATTTAACCAGAAGATGGCAGTGATGATCTTCAAAAAGTTTTACAAATGTAATAGCATGAAATACGCACGTTCAGCTGCTGGTATATAATGTTAAAAGTGACAGGTTAGGGGAAAGCATTTGCTGTTTGTTTTATATACTATGAAAAATGTGTATTTTTCTATAAGAAGGGATTAAGAATATTTTGGGTGTCTGTATCTTTGTCTGTACACTTCAGTTTTTTCTGAATACTGGGGTAAGGAAGTTACCATTAAGTCTTGCCTTGTTTAAGTTGCATGTATCACTTTATGTTATGCATCATGTCTAGAAGGCATGCTGTTTTATGGCCTGTTTGCATTTTTCACCCAAATTGCTGGAAACTAATGGACTTTTAAAGGAGCCATTCCTTTAGTGATAGTCATTTCCCTAAATTGGCCCTTTTTATTTTTGGTGAGGGGAAAATACCATTTAAGACATCAATTCTTTTTGAAAGATAAATTGACAAAAATGAACATTTAAAATAAATCTCAGAAAACCAGACAGTAAACGACTTCTGAAGCAAAATTCAGAGTTTTGATTTGATACTAGTTAGAAATGATCTGGTGATCTTAAAAGCAAAGAATTAGAAAAGGGAGAAGGAATGCTCTCCTTTGAAAATTAGTACCCACATTTGGTGTTGGCCGAGATGAAGACGCATCCTTCCACAATCTTGCTTTTTTTTTTTTTTAATATAAAGCCCAAATGCATTTTGCCAGAGAAATTGCATGAATCGTCAGCATGCATTGTTAACTTTGTCTTTCTCCTCTTCTTTCTACTGTTCATTTTCATTCATGTACTTTTGTTTTTTGGTTTGCCATTATTTTTTCTTTTTTGTTAATTACTTCATGTTAAATTACTTTTGAAACGTCATAAGCTGAGCAACCTCTCCGTGTAGTAACAGCGGATACCTGTCTATTTCACTATTTAGTCCCTCCTCCTATGTCTCCATCCTCCAAATCTGTGAGCACTCCAAGCGAAGCTGGAAGCCAAGACTCTGGAGATGGCGCAGTGGGATCTAGGTACAGTAATTTTCTTTCAGTATTTTAATGATAGAATGCATTTAGTGCCCAGATACTGTCAGTGCTGTACAGGGACTCTGAATAGTTATGTTGAGTTAGTCCTAACATTTTGAAATCTAAATGGCACAGAAATTGTTTGTTGTAAATTGGGGGGAAATTTTTTTAAACAATATTTTACTGTCACACTTGATTAACTGAGTACTGACTAGTTAACTGATTTTATGATGATTATTTTATATTAAAAATAGAAGTGTTCATTAAAATTATTTTTCTGTTTAAGCAAATTTTGTATTGGTTATTATGTGAATGTTTTGGGTACAAATAGTGTAAAACCTCTCTACTGTATTATGCTTAATTTCCATTCAGTAATTGAAAACCTAAACAATTCAGTTAAACAGCCTAACTCTGTTCTATTAAGTCACTATTTCTAATTAAGGTAGAAAATAATAATGCATAAAATATCAAGAATAAGGAATAACTGCTAAGGAAACATTGAGTGTTTACTGGCTTCAATAACAAATTTAAAGAATTTTTAAAAAGAGTGTTTACTGGCTTGAGGGCATTATGCTAAGTGAAGTAAATCAGAAAGGGAAAGACAGATACTGTATGATCTCACTTATTTGTGAAATCTAAAAAACAAAACAAAATAAGCTCATAGATACAGAGAACAGATGGGTTCATTTTTATTTTCATTTCTAAAATTTTTGATGGTTGCCAGAGGTGGAGGGAGGGGGTGAGGGGTGGGTGAAATGGGTGAAGGGGGTCAAAAGGTACAAACTTCCAGTTATAAAGTAAATAAGTCATGGGGATATAATGTACAACATGGAGACTGTAATTAACAATACTGTATTGTATATTTGAAAGTTGCTGAGAGAGCAGGTCTTAAAAGAAAGAAAAAAATCACAAGAAAAAAATTTTGTAACTATGTATGACGGACGTTAACCAGACTTATTGTGGTGATCATTTCACCATATATAAAAATATTAAATCATTATGTTATATACCTGAAACTAATATAATGTTGTATGTCAGTTATACTTCAATTAAAAAAAAAGTTTACTGCCAAGTTTTCCTGAACTTGGGTCTTCCTTATAAAACAATATTTCATGTTTGTTTTAGGATGCTGCACACATGTTGGGACTTGATTTTCAAAAGTTCAGTAAGATTTCAGCTTCTTTCCAAAGATCATACTGAGAAAAGTATTATTACTTCTCTTTGTCACACACACAATAATACCAAGTCTTTGTTTAACAGCATCTTACATTTTGACTTCTTATGGCAGCTGAAATGAGACTAAACATAGTTAGTTTAGAATCTTTATTCAGAATCCTTATTTTGGTCTAGGAAGTTAAATGTCCTCCTCAGGAAAACTTCAAGACACCTTTTAATGAGAAATAAACTAGGAAGTTTTGTCTTCATTGTGCCCAAGCACCTCTGATTGAAGTTACAAACAAGTAGTGGGCATCTAAAAGACAAGGCAAGAAAAAAAGAAGCAAAGGGGCTAGCTAATCCATAAACTCAGTACTTTAGTCAGTTTCTGAATAATCAGGTTGTCAATAATTAGAAGGCACAAAAGGCTCACCAGTCTGAATTTGAGATGTGCTTTCCAAACCTCTTCTGTTTATAGAACTGAAATTGCAAATCTAAGCAATACTGTTGTTGGAGGTAAATGACATAACTCTGTCATTTAAGAGAAGTCAAAACTTTCTGTTTAAGAATAATATTACCTCATAAAATAGTATGTATTACAGATTAAAGACTAAATTTATTTAGTCTAAATTCATTTTCAAAGGCTAACTTTGTTTCATACTTTCGTTCTTCTGTATTCTTATGCAAATATGTTAGTATTCCTTTGCTAGTAAACAGATGGCATTTTCAAGAGAAGGGTTTTATTTTCCCCTTATACATTACCATAATAAAAACATTTCCCAAGGTAAAAAAAAAGTATTTTAAAAATTTCTTTATTTGATATTATGTATTACTTTAATGCAGATACTCTACTGTGTTAATACTGAACTCATTGTTCTTGATTTTGAATAGGAGTAGAAAGATTATTTTAATGCAACATCAGCAAGTTTGCTTTAAAAAATACTATGTAACATCTGTATGAATTAAAATATGTCCACCTGAGTTTCATTGGAAAACCTAGAGATTATTAGAGAGACCCATTGGAATATTGTAAATTGGTATAGGAAGTAAATAACTGTTAAGAAAAATATTTATTATGTTAGAATACGTATTAATTGAATTGCCAATTTAATGTTAAATGCTATAGGTTACCACAGAAAATAATGTTCCTGGTCCTTGCCTTCGGGAAACTTGCATTCTAGTGTTAATTTACATCATTAATTTAAATGCTATTCACTGTATTGAAAAATCCTAAGAATAGTGTGCTAACTTGTGTTTATAGTGTAGATTTGTAATGATAAGATGTAAAACAAGAAAACAGGTATTTAAATATCTTTAGGGGTATTTGTTTTTATTAGAGAATGAGTAGAAAATAAGTTTCTTTTAAGTTTAACAGGAGAGGAAATAAATTCTTTTTAAATGAGGTGACTTGATATCTTTTTAGAGAGCACAGACTCATTTTTAATTGTTAATTTTCAAGAGGACTGATTATGTTCACTTCTTAATATATATGTATACACACACAGTAGAAAACTATGAATTCCATTAAATCATCTCCAGATTCCATAATAGATAATTAATATTGTTGATTAATTGGTGCTATTGGCAGTGAAACAATAGCATTTTAAAATATGTGGCTTTTAAGAAGAATGCTGGAGTCTGAGAACGAACAGAATGAACTTCCATTGAGCAGGCATGATGATAAAGAATAAACAGGAAAATGCATGAAGATGTGTGAGGTGTATGAACCTATACACTTACATTAGCTGGCCAAGACAGTCTAAGATTGCTACACTTAGGGAGTAGGAAAAAACATGTTAGACATTACCAAGTATGATATCAAAACATCTGAATCACTCTTTCTAAATGCCAAAAATTTCTGTTGGGCCTGGTGGTAATTTATGAATAAATATATGAGGCCATAAAAATGATATTTCTCTAACTTTGCAGATTGGGAAGTTGCATTTCATTAAGATTTTATTTAGTTCACTTTCTCAGTCACTTCTGTTATCGCTAAAATTTAGGTGACAGTTATGCAATTGAGTAATCCATGCCTCTTGTTCCTTTTTTCCATTCTTGATCAGTTTATCTCTTAGGCTTTTGATTATATGTCTCAGGATTATATTGAAATTTTACTTTATATGTCTGCAGATGCCTTTAATAAATATAATCCCATATGTTGTGCCATGTGTTTCAGTACTGGTTCTATTTTGAGGTAGAGTTTTACTTGATTTTAGACTAAAATGACATCCTCAACAAGGAGCTCTATGTCATTGGTAACAGCTAGAGCTCTTAGAGAATGTAAAGGCTATGTACAGAACATTCCTTGAAGAGCATCTCATAAAACCCCGTCTGGTTTAACAAAGCCTAAGTTTGTTTCTGTTTAATGCTTAGTATAAAGTAAATCTTCACTGTGGCCTCTTCCTTCTTTGTGTACACACAATACCATTTAAATCCCAAGATCTTTCTTTATATTTTTAAAATGAAGTATTTCTCTAGTTCAGTTCATCTGATTGCTTTTACTGATAAATTATAGAGGCAAGTATAGAAATCATTTCTTGTATTTAAATATTATAGCAGTTTTAGTTGTATATTATCATTTGTTATATATGTGAAAAGCAAATATATTTGACAAAGATGGTAGCACCGAATGTACTGTGCTTAACTTTTCAATAGGGACTATGAGCATCTTACAGTACTGTACATAATTATCTTATTATCACTAACCTTTCAAGAGTGCCAATGTCATAAAGCAGCTTTTATTCTAGTAATAACTAAATTTTCCTTAAATCTTTTGGAAAAGATCCCACGTAAGTTGTTTACCCAATAGGCAAGGCTAAAACACAACCGAATATTTATTTAGGATTGATATTCTCCATAAATTTAGTTAGTTTAGGTAAATCCTTTGAACATAAAATATTTTTCCTGGGGGAAAAAAAATCTACTTTTTCCTAGAGACAGAAATCTTTAGCTGCTTTCTAAAGCAGATGACATGTAAGCCCAAGGCAGTGCTTAACCCATAAATTACATAAGGGTCACATTTTGGAAACTTTAGCTATTTTGTATCCCAGTGGAATAGTCTTTGGTTTTCTTACCGAAAGGCTTATGTGTTGACTCATTTCCTTTACCAATATGACAATTTCCTGCACACATTTAATGCTTTGGGCAAGATTATAATATGTTAACTAAGATGTTTTTACTAATGTTTTTTTCATTAGGAAACTTAAAATTTCAACTTTTTTTTTATAGCTTAGCTTGCTATCATCCAAAAATAATGTGTTATTTGGGATGTTGGATGTTTTGGCTGTTCTTAGCCATTACTATGCAATATTAGTTTCCCAAAATCTGAAAATACTGTCTTTTAACTATTCTAGGTTGTATGTTTGCGTCTTTAACCATATTATGCTTATTGCATGCACTAGAGCATTGAGTGATACCTGGTGTTTTTTTGTACTAACCAGAACATGTGGGTTTTAACTGTGAACCGTACTTTAGCTATTCGTAGAATGTATTTGCTTGACTAACTTATGGCCTTTTTTGCTAATGCTTCATGGTTGTCCTACAACCGTTTAGGACGCTGCATTGGGATACAGATCCATCAGTTCTTCAGCTTCACTCAGATTCCGATTTGGGGTATTGAATAGATTTATTACCTTCCCTCTTTTATAATTAATTTGATTCTTTGTGAAATTGTCCTAATTTTGTTTTGCTTAAATTTCTAATATTCAGGTAATAGTTTGAAGAGTGGTATTTTATTGTGACACCTCATTTATCCTCTATCATTTGTGAAAGACATATTTTATGTATCTGATTTTAGAGGTACCCTAAGTCTACCCATTTAAATGTCCAAATTACTTTTATTGTTTCTACATTTTTGATGTAAGTTTTTCTACAATGTATTATAAACTTCCCATACTTTTTCTAATAAATACGCCATATGTAATTGAACCTTTTCTAGGTTACTCAACATGAATATTAATTTATTTTTCTATATTAAAATTCCCTGATGATTTCTAAGGTTTTGAGAGGAACAGAGCTGTTGGTTTCTACACCGTGGCTCCAGATTGCTATTGATTTACTCATTAATTCATTTATTCATTCGTTTATTTATTCTAGTCTCCAGCGCAAACTATAAATGTTTGCTGCTGCCATTGTGCCTGACTCAGATAGCTCTTTTCCCTTGATATTTTGCAGCTTCTAAAACATATGACCAACACCTTTAGGAATTATGTCTAAAGCTAAGAGTTAATAAGCCTTGAATTAGGCCATATAAGAAAAGTATATGAGCTTCTTGTACATTAGCTGGTAGGCCTCTCTCGGCTGCCCTGAGGCTTCCCCACCCCCCAGTTGCTTGCTTGTTCTCAGTAAAAGTGGCTTTGGATAACTGAGGTATTACCTCCCTAAATCTATCCCTAAATCTTAGAATATTTTGTTTGTTTGTTCTAGTATTGTGATTTTTACCTATTAAACCCTATATGTACTCAAGTTAGTAACTTGTTCCTAATGTTGGCTTGACTGTTTTTTATCAGATATATGAGTGACTTACTTTTCATATGGTTTACATCTTAAATATCAGAATATAAAGTTTCTTATTTCAGATTTTGTTCTTAGAATACTAGATTACTTCAAATGTACTTAAATTTTCCCATTTAATTCTTTGATTATGCTTTTTTTTTTTTTCTTTAAGGCTAGATATTCCCAAGGTAGAAAACACATTAAAATTTTCTTATGGCCCACATTTGGGACCTTAGAGAAAATTAATTCTTTAAATGTACTAATTTTATTAAACTTTTTTGTACAGGATTTTGAAAAGGATGTTTATATAAGAAAAAAGTTTAGTTTATATTACCAATGTGATATTACCAATGATATATATATATATGTGTGTGTATATATATATTTCAGATATCCTCCTTTATATTCTGGAAGTTCCACCACTGTTTTTACTAGATATTCTTTTAAGACAGATTCATCGTTGAGAACTTTGGGAGTTTGGAAGCATGCTATATTTGGTTTAGAATTTAGACATCTATAATAGCCACAAGTCTCGTCTTCTGTTTGTCAGAAAAGAATGTATTCCCCCCTATTTAAAACAGAAGTGGCTTTAGTAATTTCATGATATTCAGAAGATATGTGGCTTTAGTTTAGGTCTAACATGTTTGCACAATAGTTTGTCCGTATGTGAATCAAGGACCATGTTGACTGTGCAGAGATTAGAGATTTAAAGTTTAAATATTTTAAAATCTAAATTGACTGTATGATTCTCAATTTCTGCAGAATATAAGTAGAAAAAATGGTTTTCAACAGAAACTTCTTTCTAACTCTTAAAGCTGAAGTCTTCTGACGGTGAAGGGAACTAAATGTGGTCTGAGTGAGATCCACATATTTGACTCTGGAAAAAAATGTCCAGAATCGTGTCCCTGCTAAAAACAGTTCTCATAACCAACCTTATTCAGCAGTCTGCTCTGAAATTCCTCTCCTCTTACTCTGTTATTACCCACACATTTGTTCTAAGAAACTAAATTATTTGCCTTTTTAAAGTGAAAAATAAACACCTTGAATGATTCGGAAATATCTTTTGTTTTTGCTACCTTCTAATTCTTTTGTTAAAATAAAGCCGATTGTTCATTTAAAATTTCTTGAATAAAACAGGGATTTAAATTACACTGTTGGATATATAGTGTTCAATTATTACTTTTATAAAATAACATTATTTGATGTAGTTAAAATGTATCATTTGTAATATTTAAAAACATTTGTGTTCACTTTATTTAGACGAGGACCTATTAAACTTGGAATGGCTAAAATTACACAAGTTGACTTTCCTCCTCGTGAAATCGTCACATATACGAAGGAAACTCAGACTCCAGTTATGGCTCAACCCAAAGAAGGTGAGTATCTGTCCTTAATATGATTGTCATTAAGCCGCCATATTAAACAAGTGGATTCTTTCCTTTTTTTTGTTTCTTCTTCCTTTTTTATTTTTTGGTATATTTCCTTAGGGGAATATTATAAAAGTAATGCTTTGGATTTCTGTATTTATGCATTTGTTCTTTAGAGTTTTAAAACTTTTTCTTTTAAAAGTTAACAGAAATATAAGCTGTATGTATGTTTTTAATTTTGTTGACGTAAATGTAAATATTTCCATTTTCATATTGTCGTTGCTGTGTGCTGCTTTAGAAGCAGAAAAACTTAAGCATGTTCTATTTCTGTGTCATGAACATAATTCTTCCCAAAATGAGAGTATCAATATATCCCATAGTAAATGAAATCATGTAAATTATTCAATATTTTCTGTGGAGTATACTGTATTCTGATATACTGTCATTGTTAATCCATATTAATGAACAAATCTAGACCTAATTCATAAACTTCCTCTTTTATGATCTAAGGGCTCTACTGTGTTGATTATATAGCAGTTTTTAATCTCTGTGAAACAGCCGCAGGATAACATTTTTATCCAAGAGTGTTTTTGTTTTGACCATGTGAATGTTCATCTCTATGGATACATTTTTTTCATTCCTGCTGCTCTGTGGTTTGGTAAGATAGCTTTCACAGGTGCAAACTCCTCCTCTTACCAGAAAAAAAAAAACCCTGATGGTTTTGAGACATAAGCCACTTTAAAAAAGAAGACATGGGGCTTCCCTGGTGGCACAGTGGTTGAGAGTCCGCCTGCCGATGCAGGGGACACGGGTTCGTGCCCCGGTCCGGGAAGATCCCACATGCCGCAGAGCGGCTGGGCCCGTGAGCCATGGCTGCTGAGCCTGCGCGTCCGGAGCCTGTGCTCTGCAACGGGAGAGGCCACAACAGTGAGAGGCCCGCGTACCACACACACAAAAAAAGAAGACAGGAAAGATAAAGTGTTGAACTACCAGTATGGAAAAAACTAATACTGTAGGATTCTATAATTTCCAGAAAATATTATTTTATTAACTAGTATATTCAAGTGTTATAGTTTCTGTCTTTTGGGAGCTACATTGTTAGATATGTTAACTTGGAAAGTGAGTAAAATAGCCAAAATGAGGGTATAGTGACTCATTTAAAAAATAAATTAGGCTTTTTTTCCTTCTAATAATAATTTGGAGATTTAGCTTTACTTTGAGATGCTTTTTGGATTGTTTGAAATGTAAAGCATTCTGAAGCTATTTTGGGTAATACCTATTATAATATACCTATAATTAGTTTAAGTGAAGACTTCCATTTAAAAAATTTTTTTTCTTTTTTTTTTAATAATTGTAGTAGTGTATCATAGAGAATTTAGAGAAGACAGAAAGGGTAGGGAGTGTCTGTTATACCACTATGTAATAGCCATTTGTTTCTAGTCTGTTTTCCATGATATATTTTTTCAAAAATTATATATGTATACATAAACACACACAAACATATGTATATACACACATATGGTTTTATATCCTACTTGAAATTTGCATTTTTAATTGCTTATTTTTGACATGCATATAAATTTTAAAGTGTGAATGTGTGACAGTGTCTTTGAACTAATTTGAATGTATAGCTACATAGTATATGCCTGGCAGTTTTCAAAAAAATTTTTTTTCCCATTTTTATTTTTCAAGTAATTGGAAAATTTAAAAGATTGTGATTTGTAAAGTAAGCTGATGACCGGGAAGTTCAAGATAAACTATTTTTTTCACTTTGAAATTATTTAGGGCAAGGCTTTTAGTGTTATCGAACTTAAGCTTCTTTGCCAAATTTTGCATGAGTATAGGGATTGTTTCTTTTTCATTGCTGTAATGCCTGGTTTGAATAGTGTATGGCATGTAGTGAGTACAAACTCAGTAAATATTTGGTGAAGGAATTAATTGCTTTTACCTACTCAGGAGAATGATTTACTTACTTGGGATTTTTTTTTTTTTCATGCCTTTACTCTGCAAGTAACTGCTGGGAAAATAGGTTATTTTCAAGTGTTAATGCTACAACATAATTATTGATGAAATTGGGTGAAAAGGCACTTAGTCTCAGTTCTTGGTTTTAACATGAACATATCATGTTCTAATCATTATTTGCTCTTAGATCCATGTATGAAACATACATTCTCCTTTATAGCCTTCTTGAATTCCATGATGACATAGTATATAGATATAAACGTGTGCTGTTATTTTATGTTTTATGTATCCCTCTGAATGCTATGAACAAAATTGGACCTTTTAGCATGTTTCAAATATATTATCTTAGCTACTTGTTTTAACAGTTCTTCAAACCTCACGTTCAAATTGATGACTGAAAATTTTAACAGCAAAGAGTGCCTACTACATATCAGGTATAGTGTAAGGCACTTTACATTACCTCTAATCCTCTTACCAAAACCTTGAGAGTTAAAGAGTTAAATATTGGTTCTGTTTACATATGAAGAAGCTGAAGCTGAAAGAGATAGCTTATCAAGGGTCACATAGCTAGTAGCTAAGATTCTAAACCAAGTCTGACTGATTCCAAGGTGTGCTTTCTCTCTCATGCTGCCACTGAAGCAGCACTTTCATGCTTTTATGACAGTCACCTATGGTAAGAAATTCAATTTATATTACGATCTAGTACAAACATAGATACAGATGTGTACAGCTGTCCCTTGAATTTCACAAGTTCACTTTACACCACATTGGGAGGTGGTGTCCACTAGAGCAGAGAGCTCCTTCCCTGGGAACTACACACAGCATCTCGGCAGAAAGCTGCCATAGCTTTGAACTGTGTCTCTGAGCATCTGTGCTGTATTTATTTTGTGCATCCGTTAACAGGATGTGTCTAAAGTAATTACTTCTTCAGTTTACACCACTTCAGCTTAAGAAAGAAAGGTTTCATAGGATTGCTCTACTTTCGAATAGTGGGGGAAACTTGTAACTGATACAAAAGTTTTATGAAATACACCTTTTCTGCTCTTGCTATATTTCATTTTTTTCAGTGTTGACCATAATACACTAAATTTATTGGCTTAGACCTGTAGTTTGAAAATTACTTCATTAAAAGATTAAAAGATTAAAAGATAGCATGGCTTAGTTAACTTATTTATCGATAAATTTGCATCAGGATAATATTTTATAGTGATTGGCTAAGAGTAATTAATAAACAGCTTTGACCTTTTATGGTGTTAAATAGAATTTTTCTTATCCTCACTGATAGAAGGTGAAAGTGGCAAGATGTATTAGCACCACTATCTTTAAAATTTTCCTGTGTGAACTAGACTTAGATGTTAGTTTTATAAAGGTCCACATTTATTCATTTGCAACAAGAATTCACGGATTCTGCAAGTTTATTGAGTATATGCTATATACTCGATTATTTCTTTGTTTTTTTTAGTTTCAGGTTGAGGTATGTAAGTGAAGGAGAATGCGAAATGTACCCCAATACCATGGAGCCATCCTTAGCCTTTGGAACTATTTATAAAAATGAAATCATTTCCTCTCTATATCATTACAATTATTTTCATGTCCAGGGCTCTTACATTGTTTCTTTTCCTAATTTGTAGAGGTTCTAGAAAGAGGGAAAGAAAAAAAAAACCTGAACTTAAGGTTTTATAATGAAAACACTTTGTGCATAACTGTACTTCTGCTTATCCATTGGTTTAATACAGTGCCTCTCAAACTTAGCCTGGTTGGCTCGCGTTTAAGAATTATGTAACAAATTCCAAAACTCACCATGAGACAAAATTGCTGAAATCACAGTTTGAGTGTAACAGACAGTAAATTGAACTTGGGTAGGCAGTATAACTCACGTTACCAAATTGAAGATAAAAATTGGTTTTAGGCTTAACTCTTTTTTTTCATTTTTTAAAAATGGCTGAATCTATTCTTTTAAAAAGCAATTTTTATTCTTCTTTTTTTCCTTTTTCCCTGTTCTAGCCATCTTCTTTCAAGTTTACTCTGTGAGTTGGTAGTACCATTTCTGAACTGAGGTGCTTTGCTGTCTTAAAGCACCTACTGTGAATGAAATTGACAAGGAACATGTGACCTCAGTCAATTTTGTTCTCGGCAGGTAAAAGAACTTCTCATGGCAGGAGTGTGGTGCCCACAGATACACTCCTGGAAGAGTTACTTTCTTCTCTTTTAAAAGTTTTTAACTCTTTTGAAAATGGCGTTATTTTTTTCTTATTCACGTTGTCAGTATGGATTTTTTTGTTGTTGTAATTTTTAGACACAGATTTTTAAAGAGGAAGAAATTCCAAAGTTTAATCAGCTTGTTTACACCTGAGGAAACTGAGACCCCAGGAAGTTCATTGATGACCCTATGGTCACAATATAAGAGAATATCAGACTACAGCCAGAACCTGGTTTTTGATTTCCAGTGAAGTGCTATGTTTCGCATATCATTCCACTTTCTTATCTTTGTGGAGTTTTGTAATTATTTTTGGTGTTGATTTAGTAGTCAGATATTCTTCCTCAGGTACGTGTTGATCACCATTTATAATGTGTAGAAAAATGTTATATGTAAAATAGCTCTTAATTATTTTATTGCATGATCTTAACATCTGGAATCCACACTTCCCAAGTAGACTAAATCTGTGGGCCTTCTGGTTTAATAAATAGTACCCTTGTCTAAAATGGATTTTTAAAAAAAATCCTGGAATAAATAACACATGTAATAAATTAGTTTTAACCCTCAGAGAATCTGTGAGAATATAAAAATAATTGAAAATTGAAGCATTTATTCGTAACCTTGACTGAAAGACTTTAATCAGCATATCTGAAATTGTGGCCTCAGAAAAATGTAATATTTATGAGATCGCAGATAACAGGATCTGTGTTAATGATGCCAATACTGCCTAAATAAAATCTGAATTTTACATAAAAAGAGACAATGTAGAGAGACAAATTCTGTGTTAAATGTTATGTATGATTAAAGTATTACTCCCGTTTTATTTATCTTCCAAATTAGCATTAGATCTATATTCAAAATATTTCCCATTTAAAATTTTCCCTTGTTGAAGATCTAAATTATTAAGGAAATCCAAGTGACCTTGCATCTGATTCTGGGTGTTTAAAAAAATAAAAGGAATGAATTCCATTGATACATTCATGAAGTTTTGTCCTAATATAAGATTTTCTTAATATTGATTTTAAAGAGTAAGGTATAAGAAGATGAAATTATGGACAAATGGATCGAAATGAAGTGATTCAAAAGGATGTTGATCCAGAAAAGAAAGGGTTATTTTCAAAATATTAAAGGAAAATCATTCATATCTAACATGGATTTTTCAACTTATGATTGAAGCATTTCCCTCTAATATTCTCATTTTGTTTGTGAAGTTATTAGTTGAATTTTTGTAAATTATGTTTTTATATGGAACACATTTCCTGAGTTTTGGAACTCAGTGGCAACTTCCTTTGTATCATAAGAAATCAGACTACTCTGTAAATTAGAAATTCTTCATAAGATATTAAACTATCTTAAAATACAGTACACCAGTATGATGAAACTAGTTAATAAATTTATAGACAACAAATGTATTTCCTAAACGACATTAATGCCCCGATGATGATATTTATTTTTGACCTCATACTGAGCATTAATTGTGAGAAGTGATAGAATAAAGAGTATCAGTGTTTAGTGAGGATTTTCTAGGATCTTTCATATTACCTGTTAAATATGTTGTAATATTTTAAAATAATTCAAAGCATGCTTTGTGGCTTATTCTTAGATGTCTCTTAAATGTAGCGTGACATACAGATGAGAATACTTGCTCTGAAGACTCCTTCCTTCAGCTTAACAAAAGCCACCCATTTCACAGATGATTTAACTTTGATTAACCTACTCCACTGTAACAGATTATTCCAACAACTGGAATTTCATTCTTTGGTGTTATTTCTAGGTGCAGCTTAATTTACAAAACTGCTTTTCTTTCCATCTCACCAAAATACATCACAATTTTGATGTTAACTCAGTAAAAATTCAGTGGTTCATTAAACCTAGTCTTAGCATTCATTGACAAGAGGTTTGTCATTTTAAAAGTAACTGCTACTTTTATGCATTCTTTACTGCTCAGTTTATAACCTTAGATTCCCTGTCAGAGAAAGCATGGAGTTAACCACTTAGCATATTGCAATGAATATTCATCAATAAATTGATGTGACATGGCAGTCCCATTTTTCAGTCTTCCTGCATTGTTGCAGTCTTTTTTAGTTTTAAATATAGATAATCATGTAATAGGGACTAGCCTAGAAAATCTTTAGAATTGTAGTACTATATTTTTGGTCTAATAATATAGTATTATTAACATAATACTATATGTTAATAGTTTTTTAGTAACTAATTGTATTAGTTTTTAATAAGAGAAGTGTATTTGTTTCAGAGGAACAGTCTCTAATCTGATGTTACTGATGTTAGGCATTTTTTGCCAAATATTTGGTATATATAGATAATCAGCTTTATAATAAAAATACTGTTTTGTACTTTTAAAGAACACATCATTTTTGTAATGTTCCTGGAATTTTTATTTAGCTTAGTCATTTTTATGAAGGTTGGGTTTATCATAGTTTTTAATCAGTTTTTAATTCATCTAGAAAGAGAGCTATGTACATTCATTCTAAAATAAAATCCTGAAAACAAGTATTTAAATAGATTATTACTCATTCAAACACAACTAAAGTAATCTATATGGGCAAGTTAGCATGGTAAATGCCATAAAGTAGGCAGATACAGATCACTGTTTACCATACTTCATCTACATTTTAAATTTTAAAAGGAAAAGAGTGTCTATAAGCACTATCTTTTCTGTTAAATATATAGATTATGAGGTCACTTAGCACTGAAGTACCGACCATATGCATTATGACAGGAATTTGACACCTGTCATTGGAAATGGTACTTAGAAACCGTATAATGCAACAAAGTTGAGGGAGGGAAATATGATGTGGATAGGAGGCTGTAATTTGTAATTCACAGTGCTTAAGAATGACTTGTCCAGGGTGACTCAGATTCCCTATATTTGATTTTAGGATTTACATACAGTGAACCCTACTAGTCGACAAAATTGATTAAGATAACTAACAGTATTAGCAGAAAATACATATTTTCAGACTTAATTTTTTTATAGATAATTTATAAATTTATTTATTTTTGGCTGTGTTGGGTCTTCGTTGCTGCACGCGGGCTTCCTCTAGTTACGGTGAGCGGGGCTACTCTTCGTTGTGGTGCATGGGCTTCTCATTGCGGTGGCTTCTCTTGCTGCGGAGTATGGGCTCTAGGCGCACGGGCTCAGTAGTTGTGGTGCACGGGCTTAGTTGCTCCACGGCATGTGGGATCTTCCTGGACCAGGGCTCGAACCCGTGTCCCCTGCCTTGGCAGGTGGATTCTTAACCACTGCACCATCAGGGAAGTCCCCAGACTTAATTTTTAATTGAAGTAAATATCCTGTTATTCTAAAAGTCAACTTAAGTACAATTAAATTATTTTATTACATTACACTGGCAAGTGACTTTATGGTATAATTTCATTGTAATGTTGGAGCAGTACAGTATAGAAGAATTGTTACCAGTTACACTGTTTTCAGATTAATAATCCATTGTATATGAGAATTCATCTAAAAAGGAGTACTGTCTTTCTGTTTTTCTATGTGATTATTTTGCCCAAAAAAAAGCTTTCATTTTTTTAAGTAGCACAAAAGCTGTAATTGGCATGCTTTGTAAGGAAGTGTCAGTGTGCAAGAGAGTGGCGATCACTAAGAATTCTTTTACGTGTTCTTTCCCCTTTGCACCACCGCCTCCTCAGCGGGGTCACTGAGATCACTAGCTTTTCTTGAAATGGCCATTTTCACTGGCAGGTGCATTATACCCTGTATTTTCAGATTGTTTTTCCATTCTGAATGTTTGGCAGGTTGATTGCTCTGGCTGCATTGACGGAGAAAGGGCTGACAAATGCGGTTGGGCTGGCTGAAAAGACAGTGATTACTGTTTTCCTTTGTGGCTGATTGAGGCCCTTGAAAGGAAAAATTTTAACCTTCACCATTTGGTTCAAAAGTATGAGCATATATTGAAATCATTCGTGCCATTTATCCTAGTTCTGTAAACTTGTCAGAACGTAAAAATCGCTCAATTTCAAGTAATGTAGGATTGGCATACGTCATTATCATTTTGATTAAGTTGGAGGTTGTATCATTGTGTGCAGTATACAGTGTCATTTAAAGCTTTCTTTCCTACAGGTACAGTTACATTTTTATTGCTTATACTATAGAGTTAGAAAGATTTTCATAGCTCTCCAAACCTAACACTATGTGTGTGGTTTGGCAGCTGGTGTGGCCTACAAGCTGCATTTTGTTTGCAGGGTAAAGGCTTATCTGTAGGCCTCCTGGAGTGTGGGTAATTGCACAGGCTAGCCATTGGGGAGAGACAGGATTGGAAGCAGTCAAGCGGAAGAATGTTATGCCATCCCATTGCCACCTTGTAGCAGAAAGACACAATCCCAGCAGTGCCATCTGGTTGTTGCTATCTAGTCAGCTGGCCTGGCTGCTGGGACCATGACTTGGCAGCTGGTTCCCATCCTTGACTATTCTTTTGTGTATGTCGTATGTATGCGTGTTTTAGATAATTTTGAACATAGGTCGGGGAAATGACTATAACTAACAAGTAAAGTCCCCTTACTGAATGGGCTCTTATTACTTGAGATGCGCTTTGCTGCAGACGCCTGCTGCCATTCCCTCATAGACAAATGACACATCTGTTTAGGCAATAAAAATAAGCATTTGCTTAATAAAAATCCATCTCAGTATGTAGTGAAAGAGAAGGTAGGCAGAGTTGTATGTTCTAGAACATTTTAAAATAAGTAATTTAAAGTTATTTCCTGGTTTGGGGTTATAAGGGGAGATTTAATAATTTTTAAAAGTCTTATAAACATTGTATATTATCTCAATATGTATTTTTATTCAAGTTAAGAAAACATTATGTTAAGTGCTTATTGCCACATCATGTAACAGTAGATAATGAGACTTGCATTTAAAATGACAGAATAGAAAATGTGGTCTCATAGCTATTATCTTTAAAATCTGCCTCTCAAATAGCAACCTGAGAGTTAATGTAAGCCGTCTTTATGCCATATGAAGACCCATTAGACACTGATGGTTTCAGATCACAAGTAAGCAGCCAGCTCTGTAGGCTATTTTAGACATTTGATTTTCTTCATTTTACAGCATTAATGTGTCAGCATGCTACATAAAACTGTGTAGGAGTTGCATGTTGTTCTGTCTGGAATGATAAATGCTTGCAAGCTTTTAGAGATTTCCATGAGGGACTCATCCTAGTTGCTTATGTATCTTATTTCAGTTTATGTTGCTACAGAATTTGATATGACTATTGCTGAGTTACCACATAGGTATGTATAAAAACCAAGAAGTTCCACTTAATTCTTTTTTTAAAATTGTATTGATAAAATTTATATTATTTGTACTCTTTTGCTTTTATCTAAAGAGTTGTGATACTTTCTGAAATAATTACCTCAAGGGTTAGCAGTTATTTTCATGAAAATAATTTTTGTGTTATTCTGTTTTTTCAGATGAAGAGGAAGAAGATGACGTAGTGACTCCTAAACCACCTATTGAACCTGAGGAAGAGAAAACTTTAAAGAAGGATGAAGAAAGTGATAATAAAGGTATCTTAAAGAATTCAACTTTAAAAAAAATAATTTAAAAAATTTTGTTGATTCCTGTTAAGACTGCTTTTATTATTTATATATTAAAGTAGAATAAAATGCTCTAAATCAAAGAGGTGAATCTGCTTGGAAAAAAATGAGTGGCATTCATTGACACAAATTGTGATAGTGAGGTGACATGATTTGAGTGGCATAAATCCGACTTCAGAAAAACGTTTGTCTCACAGCCCCCCCGCACGAGCTGACTGAAGAAGAAAAGCAGCAAATCTTGCACTCTGAGGAATTTTTAAGTTTCTTCGACCATTCTACAAGAATTGTAGAAAGAGCTCTTTCTGAGCAGATTAACATCTTCTTTGACTACAGTGGAAGAGATTTGGAAGACAAAGAAGGGTAATGTTTAATTGCTAAAATTATGGGTTCAGCAATGTTAAATTACTTTAAGATTAAGAGTGGGAAGTTATAACACAGTTGTTGGGTTTTTCTTTTTTCGTCTTTTTCTGTAGAGAGATTCAAGCAGGTGCTAAACTGTCATTAAATCGACAATTTTTTGACGAACGTTGGTCAAAGCATCGGGTTGTTAGTTGTTTGGATTGGTCATCTCAGGTAAATTATAACATAATTGGTTGCTATTAACTCATTTTTGAATTCCAGTAAGCAGGTAGTTTTAATTGTGGAAACTTTGTGTAATTAAATCAATGTATATTATTGAAAATTACAATGGATGATGGTTCTAAGGTTATGGTTGTCTTATGTACTTAGGAAGAAAGGATTGGAAACACTATATTTAAAAATCAAGAGTTTATGCCACAGCCCAGTTTTACTAATTTTAATTGCTCACCAAATCTCCTTTGGATAGAATTGCAACACATATTTTAATAAAATATTTTAACATTAAAACATTTAAAATAACTAAACTAATTTAAAGTTTTACTAATGTTCCAGCAAGCATAACTCTAGAGATATATTTCTTGGTGAAGTGTTAGGAATTTGTATTTTCAGAATAATTTAATAATAACAGTTGAGTAACTAGGAATGTAAAACAGTTCTCATTATGCATAGCGTTTTTTTCCCACTTGATTCTTGCGAGCAGTATCCAGAGTTACTTGTGGCTTCCTATAATAACAACGAAGATGCTCCTCATGAGCCTGATGGTGTGGCCCTTGTATGGAATATGAAATACAAAAAAACTACTCCAGAGTATGTGTTTCACTGCCAGGTAAGATGGTCTTTTAGCAGTCTTTCCCAAGTTTAAGAATTCACTAATGAATTTAGACAAGTGCCTTTCTTCTTTTCTTGTCAACATAATGATTTCATTGGATTGGCATTTACTAAACCACCCCATATTTGCAAACAGATGTTAACGAAAAACTGAAGACTTCTCAGTTCAACATGATCTGCGTTTTCTAGCTTTTCTGACATCTCTTATGTTTAATCACACCTAAAGTCCTTTGCAGTTGTGATTTTCTGTTATTGTGATTGATTGTATAAAAGGAATCTTTTATAAAATGTCTTTTCTACAGGGAGTTTCTCAGGAACTTATTTGCTGAATATACAATTAGATGGTTGGCCCACTGAATTACTTATACATGGCCTGAGGAGTTGGAACTAGATAGTTTTAAGTAGAAACATATGTTTGAAGTAGGAAACAGATGCAGATTTTTAAAGTGGATTTAGTGGGAGGTTAGAATTTGCAAGCCTTTCTGGTTGCATGAGTTATAATCTTTTAATAATATCATAATTCTGCAAAAACACTTAACTGAATCAAAACTAGCATATACTCTGTTGTCAGATTACTGTCAGAAGCTAAAGTAGAGCCAGTTATCTTCTGATTTAATGATGTAATCAAATTAAATAATTTTTGCTTTCTTCGATAAATTGCTTAAACATTTCTGTAAACAATCATTACATTTGACTTTTAAGCAAAACTATTCTAAAGCTGTATCTTATGTTCTAAAGCAAAATGAAATTTTAAAGTATATTTATTTACTGGTTTTTTATAATCTCTGATACTTTACAATAAAGGGGAAAATGTTTTGGATATAGATTTATTTTTATAACTTGTCACGCTTCTTCCATTTGAACCTTAAATATAAAAATCTTGCTATTTGCAGTCAGCCGTTATGTCTGCTACATTTGCAAAATTTCATCCAAATCTGGTTGTTGGTGGTACATATTCAGGCCAGATTGTGCTGTGGGATAACCGTAGCAATAAAAGAACTCCAGTGCAAAGAACTCCACTGTCAGCTGCAGCACACACAGTAAGTAAAGGGGTTATTTCCATTAGATTTCTGTCTTCTTTCACCATTAAATACTTAGTAGTGTCCATCAGAGTAGTCTCAAAATGTGTTTCCTTTGATGTGTGAATTTCTCATCATTTAGCAACCAAAACTGAAGGCTTTTTTTTTTCTTTGTATTTTTGGAAATCTATTTTATTAGAAACTCATCTCTCTTCTGAGATAATGTTTTGCTAATCTATGGAATAGCATCGAATTTCACATTAAAAATGCCATCAAGATATGAGACTGGATATGAAACAGAATACCTGTGATTATACAGTAAAAATTATTTCATTTTTTTTTGATAAAATAATCCCAGAAAACTTTAATATCTCTTTCTTTAGCATCCTGTATATTGTGTAAATGTTGTTGGGACACAGAATGCTCACAATCTGATTAGTATCTCTACTGATGGAAAAATTTGTTCATGGAGTCTGGACATGCTTTCCCATCCACAGGTAGGTTAAACTTGGAAAGCTCTGAAATTTTGAGGCAAATATTGGTATTTTTTTAAGTCTATGTAAACCCTAGCTTATGTTTTTCATAAATGTTTTATAATAGTATTATAGTAATAGTTTATAAATCTAAACATGTATAAATGTAATTTGTGGTGTATATACTTCATTTTCAAACCTTCATTTAATCAAACTAAATTTATATAAGTAGTATAGTAAAATAATTGTTTACAAACTAATTAAGACTAGAAAATTTTCTTTAAAAAATTAAAAATTATAAGTTTACAAAATAATTTACTCAATTTTTTCTGTGTAGGATAGCATGGAATTGGTTCATAAACAGTCAAAGGCAGTCGCTGTGACATCTATGTCCTTCCCTGTTGGAGATGTCAACAACTTCGTTGTTGGGAGTGAAGAAGGTTCTGTGTACACAGCATGCCGCCATGGCAGGTAAATCTAAACTGGAATTTACAATTATTTAAAATTCTCTCTTGAATAATCGTATTAAAACAAATTGCCTCTTATTCAAGTAGAAATCTGTCCTAGAGCCACTCGTTATTTGTGACAAATTATTTAAATTCAGGTATATAAAATTAAAACTTAAATACTTTTTTAAAATAAAAGGTTATTTTGGATCACGATGCGTTCTGGATTTTGAGGGTTGTGGTGTGTTGTGATTTTTGTACGTGTGGACATGCTCACAAAAGTTAGTGGTAGGAAGTAGCATTCAGCAATTACAAATACAAAATGCACATGCCACATACTGACCTTTAAAGTTGTAAATAAGATTTTCAGCTGTTTTTCCATCTTGATTTATTTGGACTTTGAGCCTTAGTTCAGTCCTCCTGATAATCGCACAGTAACGTCACATACACGTTTTAAATTGACTAGTATTTCTCCTGCTGTTTTGAAATTGTCTAGCTGTACCTTATCAATTGCTTCCTTTAAAAAAAAAATTGAGGGTCCAGATTCCATTTCAAGTACAGATCACCTTCACTTCAAAGCTTTTGATTTAAAAGTAGCCCAGATTCTCTCTCTTACATGTAGCATTCATTTGTCTCTATCCCACCACCTCAGAACCTCAGATATTGGACTTTTGATTTCTGTCATCAATAGCATGATGTTTATGGTTCCAAAATGTACTTAACCACTTTAGTAGCCTTATCAAATCTGGATAGGTAACACTCAACATAATTATTCTTATGTGTTACGAGCACAGAGTTAAGTTTGTTGAAATTATGTCAAAGGGTAATAAATAAACCCATGATAAAATATATTTATAAGTGCTCTACTTACAAGAGATTTCCCTATTTTCACTCTTAATGAAACAGCAAAGCTGGAATCAGTGAGATGTTCGAGGGACATCAAGGACCAATTACTGGCATTCATTGTCATGCAGCTGTTGGAGCAGTGGACTTCTCACATCTTTTTGTCACTTCATCATTTGACTGGACAGTAAAACTTTGGACAACTAAGGTATCTAAAAACAGATGTCTAGTCAAGTACTCAGGTTTCTGACACAAGGTGGTGCTCTATTACTACATGGGAAAGACAAAAAGCCTCCTAATAGCTTAGAATGATTTACTGATAGATCAAACCTAATAAGTTACACAGAACATGAGTGAACAACTAGATGTTGAAGTTTTCTTAAAAGTATGCTGACAAGTGTGGTAATCCCACACATGACCCAAGACCAATCTTCCCACCACTTCAGGCTTTTCAAGCACAGAACTGCTTACCCTGAACTGAGTTGGAGGAAAAGCCGCTGAGCATCTCACATGGCACTCACGTGGCTGCCCTATAGCCCAACACAAAAGCTGTGCATTTGCTCTTTGAAGAGCTTTTAGAGGCTGTTCAGAACTGCATTGGCTCACAGAGCTGATGGAAACCGGAGAAAAGATAGATAAAACCTGAGGTGTAGAGTAAGTCTTATACAGTGAGACTATACATCATAAACTGGAATAATTAAGGAAGTATTGTGTAAATACTTCTGTGTAAATATATATGGATGCATATGTATTTTTGTTGTCTGCAATACATAATTTAAATAGTTTGTTTGGGTTTTAATAAGCTTTGAAAAACCATTTATGTTATAAAGTGCTTCCGATCCTACAGCAATCCCAGATAGATGTGACATTGCCATGCCTCATTGAAAGTCTCAAGGCAAATCCAGGTAGGGAACATTTCTTCCTGTGATGGGCCTTGTAGTTTCATTTGACTCCATTTAAAAATTAAAGTGCCTTGACTTTTCTGTCTGGCTTTTCTGCAGTATTACATTGCTGCTGGCAAAGCTGCATACTTGAAATATCAGATTCTATTTAAATTAAGTTAAATTTTAAGCTGTGTTTTTTCATGTTTCTGTCTGCCTTATCCTAACTTTATTTGATTCTTCAATTTCTTTGAGAAAACCTAGTGGTCTTAAGAGATATTCTTCACTATTACAGTGGAACTCATTTATTCATCAAATGCTGGCCTCAGAAATCAGGGATGAACTCACTATTCACTCTTGTCCTTTCTTGATGCTTTCTTAGTGAGTTAGAAAACTTTCTCTTAAAATTGAACGTTTTCAGGTTTGGGATTAATTAGCAGGCATAAAAATAGCATTTAAGTCTAGTGAAGGAAAACATATTAAATAGTGCTTAACACAGTGTCTAGCATGATAGGCACTTAACAATATTCATTCGGTTCCTCCTTTTCCTCTTTATGGAGATCAGACGCTCGGTTTGAATGCATATACTGTCAATCATCTGTTTTCTTTCCTGGATTGTTCTTGAATTTTTTTTTTTTTTGAATGAGATTTATACAGTGGCAAAAGGTAGAGGTAGAAGATTCTCACCATCACCAGCAAAGAAACGCATAATCCAGCTAGTAAAACCAAAGCAAGATGCAGAATTGGAAAGATGAAGCCAACTCTCTCTCTCTAGGCTGTAGGCAGCTACGTAAGTGGCTAGATTTCTGGTTATGCTTTCACCTGAGTAGTCCTTTATATAGAGACACAGGAAATGTTACATCTTTCTTAGATTGTTGGCCAACTTCCTTTTTCAGTAATTGAAAAGAATCTTTTATCTATTTGTAGATTTATTATTTTTAATATCTCAGGTCTTCAGTTTGCCATCCTTCTTTTATCTTTAAATTTGAGGCTTCCATTCTTACATATATTACCAAATAGGACTGGAAAATGAAGACTTCATCTTTCCTAAGCAAGAACAGAACTTATATTTATGATAGCAGACTGATTGATGCTTGCTTTTGTGGTACTACACAGCTGGTTGATTGGTGGTTGATATTTTTTGTTCCTGTATTTTGCTATATTTCAACATAGAACTGCCTGCTGAATAAGAATGACAGCCAGGCATATCTCTTTCTTTGCTAATTGAGCTAGGCATTGCTTCCTTATGTGAGCTTCCTATAGAAAACTCATTTATTCATTCAACTGTGATACATGGCTCTCCACTCCCCACCCCCGCCATGCATACATACCTCTCCAATGTTAGTGGCCAAAGGATAGGACAACACAGAACAGGTACTTGCTATAGAATAGCAAGTACCCTGTAGAACTTTATCAGAAGAATTACCTTTTATTCTGACTTATCTTCACACAAATAGTTCTACTCTCGGAAGGGTGGAGCAGCAACATTCTGCTGAGTATTTTTTTTATTTGGCCATATTATGGCTCCCAAGGTCATTGTTTTGATCTTGGATTTATACTTCATAGTCAATTGTGTTGCTGGTATTCATTTTTTCCCTGAAAACTTGGTAGAGCCTCTGTGCTCTCCAACACAATGATAATGAATAATGGGCAAGGTTTTAAAATAATCTCTTCTTAAAGACATTGTTCCAGTTCCATTTTAAGCTTTTTACATCAGTATCTTCACATTCATGAATTTAACAGACTTTAAATGTTTTTCTTTGCCTTTACTTTTTAAGTGTTTTCTGACTCTAGGAATTGAGCCCCTATAAACTGGGAGAACGAATCGTTAGATATTGCTGTGTCTTTGTATCCTTTAAGATCTGTCTCTGCCCCAATAGCGAAACAAGATTCTTTCTTTTTCTCCTTTTCTATAAGTCCTCTAAAAAATCCCTAGAAATCTCAATTTGTTACTGCCTCAAATTTAGTTTCAAGTAATCTACTTCTGTCGTCTGCTTCTAATTTTTGCAGAGTCAGGAATTTTAATGTAGTGACAGAGTTCTGGATCATCAAATTGTTTACTTTTTTGAACTCAGTTATTTTTAGTAAAGAAGATGAAGATTGTTTTCCACATTTTGGTGAAGGTTAATTTAAACCAGCCAGGACATTGCTTCTAATATATTTGAAGGACACTGTTAACTTTTTAAAATACCAAATTTGAAAATTCACAGCAGAAACACTTTGGAAGTCCTGAAAAATGGTAACAAGAATATGTGAGGAGTAGAAGCTTCTTGAAGGTAACTTGAGGATTCCATAAGCACTTGATTAGGGGTAGACCTGATAAATGAGCTTAATATTCTGACCACATTTAACCATACTTGTTACAGATTACTCTCAAAATATAGTAATTATTTATTTGGAGGGCAAAATGTTTTAATGTATGCACAGTATATTCCAGGCTCAACACTTATTTGAAAAGCTTTAACCTTTTTAACTATTAGAAAATACCATAGTAACTTGTTGGCCAGTGTCCAGCCTGTCCTTTGCATAGTCAGAAACTCAGTTTTGTCAGTCTACTAGATTTGATTAGCTACGGAGTGCTGACTAGAACTCACAGGCTTCTAAGACACTGATGCATTGGAGAAGGTCAATTTATTAATTTACAATGAGAAACAACTGCCAGAAGGCCTAAATACTCATGCTCGCCTGACCAGCTCATTGTTTCCCTGTAGACAACCCACACGGGAAGCCAAATTATAATCAGAAGGTTGCTTGGTTAGCAAGGAATTGGAACAAAAGAAGATTTCTGATTTGAATGTGTAGTGGCATCAAGCAAAGACAGCGTGATTCATTCATCTTCACATAGAGATAACCCTGCCATGGGTGGTAATCCTCAGGATCCATTGACAGATGCTGTCTCCTGAGCAGTGCTTGAATTGGGCACTGTCTTCATTTTTCTTGTAAGACTGCTTCTGTATATTTCCATTGCTTTTAATAGACACATTGCTTCTGAAAAAGTTAGTATCTTCCATCAGGTTGTATAGGAAGGTATTTCCGCCCTTAGAATTGTTTCTTTTTAATGAGAATCTGTTTATTTCTGTGCCGATCCAAGTGAGGACATGCTCACTTCCCATTTCTCTGGAGAGCACCTCACTGTTACGTTCATGGATTTACTATAGGGACTCTTTTGGTTATTAGTCTAGAACTCCCCAGTTACCCCCAGAAAAATACAGAATTACTGTATTAGTTTCCTGGGGCTGCCGTAACAAATTGCCACAAACTGGGTAACTTAAAATAACAGAAATTTATTCTCTCACAAGAGGCTAGAAGTCTGAAATCAAGGTGTTAGCAAGGTTGGTTACTTTTGGAGGCTCTAAGGAAGAATCTGTTCCTCTTTCCATGCCTCTTTTCTAGTTTTTGGTGGTTGCCAGCAATCTTGTGCTTTTTGGCTTCCAGCTGCATCACTCCAGTTTCTGCCTCTGTCATCGCATGGAGCTTTTCCTACTTGCCTCTGTCCAGATTTCTCTCTTCTTTTAAGACAACAGTCGTGCTAGATTTAGGGCCTACTCTAAGCAGTATAGCCTCAGCTTAATTACATATGCAAAGACCCTTTTTCCAATATCGACACATTTACAGGTTCCACATAGACTTGAATTTGGCAGGGGGCTGGGAGTGGGGGGACACTATTTAACCCATTACTGTAAAGAGCTCAGAAAAAAATATGGTTTGTCCCTTGACCTTACAGTGTTTATTTATTTATTCACCACTGTACTAGAATGAGTTACCTTTGATTATTCAAATACTATCTGTTGTTCAAAGAATGATACATTCTTTTGATTCATTCTTTTGAAAAATATGTTTGCAAACCTTTTGTTTATAAGAATTTTAGAGCTGCAGTGACCTTTAGACATCATGTAGTTCAGTAATTCTCAGTTTTGGTCACATTAGAATCACCTTGGCAATTTTTAAAAATTCTAGTGCTCACCTGGCACCCCAGACTGATTAAATCATAATATCTAAAGAGACTCAGGCAACAGCATAATTTTGAAAATCCCTCCAGGGTTAGCGGGATTACAATGTATAGTCAAGATTCAGAACCACTGATAACCTTTGTTTTGTAAATAAGGAAATAGGGGCCTGGAATGATGAAGTGACTTCTCCAAAGCCTTAAAACTAGTTATTGGTAGCCCTGAGATAAGAGTTTATATCCTACGCCCCTCTTCAGCTCTTTCCTGCTGCCTCTCTTCCATTTAGGCAGAAGTTCTCTTCAAGTTAAGAAAAAGTATTACTATTAAAAAGTACTTCAAATGATCCATTTGGGATTTTAATTTGCAGTATCATATATAAAATTAATATATTACGAAACAGTTTTGGTGTTGTATGTGTGCTTTCTTTCTCTTTGAGGGGGAAGAATTGTTAATCCTTGGATGACTGTGTTTTTTAAATTAAACTTGAAAAAAATTACAAAGGTTTCTAATTACATTTAAAATTTGGGAACATGTGGCCATTTATTGTATTTCTATTTTTAATATAATCTTTTACCCAGTTATAATGCATCCTGCTTTTTGCCTCTGGCTGCATCACAGTCCACCTAATAGATGAAATACTTTATTTAATAATTTCATGAGATATTCAGCAATCTTCTTTTTCACTTGAGATATAATTTTTATGTAAGTTTTAATCTAATTTGTATATAACATTTTTCATATTTTATAAAAAATGGAATCATATGATATGTACTTATTTGTATCTGGCTTCTTTTGTTCAACACTATATTTGTGAGAGTCATTTCATATTGTTGAAGGTAGTTATAGATTGTTTATTCTCTCAGATATATACTATTCCCGTATGTAAATATACCATAATTTGTCCATTCTGCTGCCGATGGTATTTGGGTTGATTGTAGTTTGGGGTTGTTATGGATAATGCTGCTATGAGCATAATTGTAAGTGTCTTTTGATGGACACAAGCGCTCATTTCTGTTGGGCGTATACTTAGGAGGGAAGTACTTGGCCATAAGGTACGCATGCATTCTGCTTTAGTTGATACTGCCAAGCAAATTTCTAAAATAGTTTTACCAGTTTATAATTCACCAGTGGCATATGAAAGTTTTCCTTGCTTTACAACCTTGCTGACACTTGGTATTTTCTGCCTTTTTTTTCATTTTAATTACTCTGATGGGTATAGTTGTATTGCAGTTTGGTTTTCATTTGTATTACCTTGAGACTAAAGAGGTTATCTTAAGCTCCTTTCCATGTGTTTATTGGCCATTTCTTGAAGTGCCTGTTTAAGTCTGCCCATTTTTCTGATAACCCCTTCTTTAAAAATAAAACATTAATATAAAAAATCTTGTAGACCAATACAGATTCTTATAGAGTCGAGCATGTGCACATGACTGTGAACAACTTCTCTTTTAAGTCTTTGATGAGAGACCATACAATTGCCTAAAATTGGGATTTTCTTGAAGACGTATACAATTGCCTCAGGATTTACAGGTCTTAGCACAGTGTTTCTTAATCGTTGTTGTGCATCAGAATCTCTAGTGGAGCAACACCAAAAAGACTGATGAAGTACAGTGAGGGTGGGGCCCTGCATCTGGAGTTCTTAAAAACTCGGCCGATGATTGTGATGTCATCCCAAGTTGAAAACTACCTCAGAGGGAGACTTCACTTGGCATTGTTGCCAAGGAGAGTTATAGGAAAATAATGATCTTAAGAAGGAAAAAAACCTCTTAGTTTCTGTTTTTAGCTTACTTATAAGTTTTGTTAAAATTTTTGTTTTCTTAATTACAAACAGACATTTTTGGCTATTAAGATAATCATGCAGTTGACAGTTACTGTGAAAATTTTAAATTTATAATTTTAAACTTTTTATTATAGAAAATTCCCAGTAGATTCAAAAGCAGAAAGAGGAGTATAACGAAACCATTGTACTCATTACCTAGCTTCTAAAATTATCAACACGTGACCAATCTTGTTTGATCTATTCCCGCTTATATTCCCTCCCCAGTCCTGGATTATTTTAAATGCAGACATACCATTTAATCTATAAATAAGCAGTATGTATCTCTAAAAAATAGTCATTTAAAAAAAAACCTGTAATACTACCATATCATTGTCACACCCCCCAAAAATGAATAGTGATTCCTTAATTTCATCAAATAGCCAGCGTTCCATTAAAAAACTTTTTTTACTATTTACTTGTTTGAAGCAGGATCCAAATGAGGTTCGTTTATTTGCGATTGACATATCTTTTGAGCCGCTCTCTTAAAGTAGGGTTTCCTACCCTGTCTTGTTTTCTTGCTACTGCTGTTACTGAAGAAACCAGGTTGGTTGTCCTATTAGTTTCTCACAGTCTGGGTTTTGCATTCTTATGGTACTGTTCATATTGTCATGTATAGTTGTAGATGTTTATAATTCTGTAAAGAGAAGCTTACCCTCGTGAATCACTTGGTGTCCTCCAGTCCTTATGTTGACATCTCTTCATTCTTTTTGGTCGTTTGAAGCTTATTCTGCAGTAGATTCCTCAGGAGGTGCTTGTGGGTGCATTATTCCCATATTCTGAAGAGCCTATCTGTTTATGAAGGTCAGTTTGGCTGTATGTAAAATCCACAGTTTACATTTTTTTTTTGATTACCTTAAATATGTTACTCTATTGTTTTCTGGCAAAAAGCATTGTCAAAAAGTATGATGACGGGGCTTCCCTGGTGGCGCAGTGGTTGAGAGTCCGCCTGCCGATGCAGGGGACACGGGTTCGTGCCCCGGTCCGGGAGGATCCCACATGCCGCGGAGCGGCTGGGCCTGTGAGCCATGGCCGCTGAGCCTGCGCGTCCGGAGCCTGTGCTCTGCAACGGGAGAGGCCACAACAGTGAGAGGCCCGCGTACCGCAAAAAAAAAAAAAAGTATAATGACAATCTGATTTTTTTCTTTTTCTTTACTCAAGACTTGGTCTTTAAAAATCTGCATGATCAAATCTTTTTTTTTTTAAGGGTTGAATGTCCTACATACACAGGATTTTCTTTAATATGAAGTTTCAAGCTGTCTTTTCTTTTAGGAGAGAGCTGTTAAATTAAGATTTTTGTATTCTATAGTATTGCTTTGGGTTTTTTTAGGGCCTGCCATTATAAGTATATCTTTGTTAATCTTCTTTGTCTATCAGTTTTTTAAAAAATTCACTTTATCTCTTCTTTCTTTTTTAAAATAACAGCGTTATTGAGATACAGTTCATATACCATAAGAGTCACCATTTTATAGTGTACAATTCAGTGGTTTTTGGGTTTTATTAGAGCCATCCTTGTGGTATGAAATGATATCCCATTGTGGTTTTGATTTGCATTCCCCTGATGGAGAATGATGTTGGGCATCTTTTCAAGTGCTTATTTGTATTTGTAGATCTTCTTTGGAGGAATATCTATTAAAACTTTGCCCAAGTTTTAATTGGGTTATTTGCCTTTTTATTAAAATGTTGTAAGAGTTCTAGATACAAGTCCCACTTATCAGGTATATTATTTCCAAATATTTTTGCCTATTGTATAGGTTGTCTTTTCACTTTCTTGAGGGTATTATTTGAAGCATAATGGTATTTAATTTTGATTTAGCCCAATTTATCCTTTTTTTTGTCATTTGTGCTTTTGTTATCTAAGAAATCATTGTCAAGTCCAAAGTCACAATGATTTACGCCTATGCTTTCTCCTAAGTTTTATAGTTTTACCTCTTATATTTAGATCTAAGATATATTTGAGTTAATTTCTGTATATGATGTGAGGAAGGAGGGGTCCAACTTCGTTCTTTTGCATGTGCATATCCAGTTGTCCCAGCATCATTTGTTGAAAGGCTATTCTTTTCCCATTAGTTGTCATGACACACTTATTAAAGATCTGCCACAATAACTTTGTGTAAGATTTGAGTGAGATCCTTTTTTTGTTGGTTATTGTCTAGTAGTGAAATGAGTTTTTCTCTACATTTAAGAGGAAGGGAATGGCAAGGTTAGCTTTTCTGGTTTCATAGTCTAGGTTAAAGCTCTTCTGGGTTTTTTGCAAAGTGGGTATATATCCCTCTATCTTGTACTTTCTGAAATGTACCTTTTTCCGTTCCTCTCCACCACCTTTATCTGAACCTTCTCTTTGCTTTGTCCCTATTGTGCTGTATTCCACAACTTGGATTCCATTCCCGGCAGTTTCTTTTTGGTGAGACTGTCTTGAAAAGGGAGCTTTGATTTGTTAATTTTGCAAGTTTATCAGGCTCAGACTGCATCATTAGACCTTACTTATACCACACTGGAGTCTGCCTGCAATTATTTATAAATCGAATTCTGTTGAACTCCCTCCCGGTCTCTGCTCCTGCTCTCAGACTGACCCCCACACTGTCCAGTGAGCACCCGCTGTGGACTGTGAGGCTCTTCTGTTCTATTCTCCAGCTGTCAGAAGCCCTCGTGCCTTCCCATACTTCTTCCCGCACAGATGTACTGTGCAGATCTCATAGTAGTCCAAGGTTTGTTTCCACCTGCTTACATTTGGAGCTTTGTCTCCTGATTTTGTTGTAGGTGTTGTCTGTGAATCTTTGGTTTTGCTATCCTCATTGCTTTGTCTGGGTTTATGGGGAGATTTAGAGGAGATTCAAAAAGTACACTGCCATTGCTCCCATCTTTCCAGAATCCTCTCATTGAAATGTTTTTAAAGCACATTCTGTTCCTTTTTTTAAACAGTATGGTGTCTACAAGTTAAACAGAAAATGCAATCCAGTCATTGATTTTGTTTTTTAATTAATTATTTATTTGTGGCTGTGTTGGGTCTTTGTCGCTGCACACAGGCTTTCTCTAGTTGCAGTGAGCGGGGGCTCCTCTTCGTTGCGGTGTGCGGGCTTCTCATTGCGGTGGCTTCTCTTGTTATGGAGCATGGGCTCTAGGCGCATGGGCTTCAGTAGTTGTGGCTCGCAGGCTCTAGAGCACAGGCTTAGTAGTTGTGGCACATGGGCTTAGCTGCTTCGCGGCATGTGGGATCTTCCCGGGCCAGTGATCGAACCCATGTCCCCTGCATTAGCAGGCAGATTTTTAACCACTGCGCCACCAGGGAACCCCAGTCATTGATTCTTAGTTCATAACTCCAGGTAATTCTTTAGTGAAACAAATTATAGGAACTTTTTCTAGGCTGAGTTAAGTATCATAAAATGTTATCATACCTGTTGAATGTATGTCATATTTTGACTGTGCTAAAAATCAACTTTTCCCTTTCAGAATAACAAGCCTTTGTACTCATTTGAAGATAATTCAGACTATGTGTATGATGTTATGTGGTCACCCACCCACCCAGCCCTGTTTGCCTGTGTGGATGGCATGGGTAGGCTGGATTTGTGGAATCTCAATAATGACACAGAGGTGAGCAGGAAAATAACAAAAATTGCACTGAAAAATAGAAAATTGGAGATTTATTGAATAATTTGTGAAATTCCTTTTATCCCAAGAAATGTAAAAGGACTCCGTGATTGTAGCTTCATCACAAAGAAACCAAATAAACTTTGTACCCTAAATAATAAACACCATGCTGTGCAGAACTGAAGGGAGAAATATTGTTGCCAAGAGGACTGGGGCCTTTCCTTTTACTTCTAAAAAGCACTATCCTGTCTCTAACGTCCTGACAAAGTCTCATTCATAAGGCAGCTGGGATATTTTTGATTCATAGGCTAGAAAGCAGATAGTTTCAGATTGCTGACATGTTAGCCTTAATTCTGAATTTCTAAATTTTCTCTAAGCCTTGATAGAATTGTATATTATCCATAAATATTAGTCTTAGGCTGACTTATTTGAATGAAGCAAAACGTATTTTGATGACTTGTTCCATGAAACACTGAAAACAGTGTTACTGTTACTATAAAATTAATATAGAAATCATCAAATTTCCTAACTGCTATACTAAAATGAGTTATTAGGAATGAAATTTAACTGCAGCTATTATTTATGTTTAACCAGGTTTATTTTTACCAATGTGGAGAGGCTTGAAATGTTCTTAGAGTTCTGTATTGCTGTGTGGTGGTAAGAAGTAATGTTAGCAGTTCTGCCAATAAAAGTTTTTGAGGAGAAAGTCTCTTGGTGCCTTCCCCCACAGCCCACTCTTTCCCACATCTCTTCATATTTCTAGTGGCAAGTGTCCAAAATCCCTTGAAGTAAATTAGTTGGTTATACAGGACAAGGAAATTATATACTGGAAATGTAAGAATTTTAACACTGTGCTAACTTGTGCCATAGTAGTTTGAAGAGGAACATTAAGATACTGCTAGGGAAAGGTATTGACTGGCTAGATGACTGGACTTGATTATACATTTCTAGTTACTTCGAATGAGACCAATTTTTTTTCTTAATTTGGATTTTGGTGTTAGACATTTGTGGTCACAGTAAAATTTGGATCTTTTCTGTAATTTGCTAACTCATAGAAAATATCTAAGTTATAATTTTTCTCTTAAAACAGTTTTGGCACTCTAGAAGTTTAAATTAATCATTTGAGGATGACTCGTGTCAAATAGTAGGATTATTTTTAATCAGATTTCAAAAATTTAAAAATTACTGTGATACTGTTCTGAGCCAAACATTGAAGGTTTGCTCCATGCGTGGCCAATAATTTCTTTTTCCTTAGCACAGCAGAGGGTACAGTCAGATTGCAGGGGATGGTGCCACTGTGTTGGTGACATCATCCTGCCCTGCTCCAGACAGTTCATGGGAACAGGGACTTTGGAAAGACCCATACTGCATCTTTAGTATGAACTGTTTCTGGCAACTGTGGATCAAATCACAGGTTTTAGCTAACAGAGATGCAAGCTACAAAAGTAATTCCTGTCCTCTAAAATTGAACCATAATCTGTTTATGAGGGCTTTTGAGATGTTTCTTTAAGTGAGGTTTTGGCCATCTGTTTTCAAATGGCTTGACTTCTTAAAGAAGTTAAAACAACAAAGAATCCTTTGTTAAAGAGAAGATCTTTCAAAATGATGTATCCAGTCATGTGAAAATTTCTTATATAAGGACTTAAGTTATTTTCCCAAACCATTTTCAAGGATTGACTATAATGTCCTTCAGAATGTATCACTGAACAGGAAGAAAGTCGGGAAAATTCTTTATTTTCATCTTTGTTTTTAAAAATGTAGCCAGATTGGAAGAAAGAAGAATTAGTTTTACATGTTTATAGAAATCCTGATGAAACTTTTAACACTGCACTATATTTTAAATGACTTTAGGTGCCAACTGCCAGCATTTCTGTGGAGGGTAATCCTGCTCTTAATCGTGTAAGATGGACCCATTCTGGAAGAGAGATTGCCGTGGGTGATTCTGAAGGACAGATTGTTATATATGATGTGGGAGAGGTATGAGGCTCACTGCCTATAATTTTGACACATCTATTTAGCTTTCACAGCATTGCGGTGGCAGTATCTTTGTGGCTAAAACTAGTCTTTGAAGTTCATGAATTGATAAAACTTACTTTTCACTATAGAAGCAACTCTTGAAATTAATTTTCTTTCTAAACTGAATGTCCTGTGTCCCCATGCAGCAGATTTGGAGGGTAGTATCATATGTTGGAAGTACTTCAAGCATGCATTGCTGGAAATTAGAAATTCTTCAGGCAGAAGAAATTCAGAGTTATAGTTGGATTTTGGGGCTTTACAGAATTGTTATTGAGATAAGATTTTATTTTTCTGTATTCATAGATTTCTTTGGGCCAGGTAGTGGAAATCAAAAGTAGTATCTTTTAAGAGTTATCTGATGACTATGTGAAATGTCAATCTTGACTCCTTGAGCCTTGTTGCAAAGCCATTATTATTGAACCCAACAGGATGACTTGCAGCTCTCTCATCTTTACTGTTTGGGTTGACTGTACACGATGCTCAGGAGTGATTTCCTCATGTTTTAGTCCTGGCTAGCACCTTATTCACTCTTTCTTTTGCTATGCCTTATGATTCCCCATTCTCTCTGGAAACCCCACAGCCTCTAGCAATTAGATCTGGAGGGAGGTAGAGTGAATCATTTAGAACAGCCAGTTGAACTGTCTGCACAGATGGAACTACTCTGTATCTGCACTATCCACCGTGGTAGCCACTGGCCACATTTGGCTATTGAACACTTAAAATGTGGCTAGAACAACTGAAGAACTGAATTTTTTATTTTATTTAATTTTAAGTAATTTAAATGTAAATAGTCACATTTGTCTGGTAGCTACCATATTGGTTATCACTGTCCAATCTAGTCTCAAGTCATATGGTAGATTTAGAAGCAGGCACATCCATTTGCCACACTGAATGTTTTGTGCCCTAATGTGGCATGCCAGATTCCTCAAATATTATAATGACAGCTGTCAAAAATTTTTGGTTATTGGACTGCTTTAGTGAGGCAAAAGCATCACAAGCCTCCTTTCCCCTTTTGCTATTGGTACATCACTAAAGTGGTAAGAAGTAGCATACCTTTTGATGAAGATGGATTAAGATATCAGGAAAGGTTATCTTAGGTTCCAAACAAAAATAAACACTTACAAGAAACCAGATCTTATGAACCATGCTTCACAAATTATTTTATACTAGGAATGGTGCAAGAAGTAAAAATTTTTCAGGACTTCCTGCCCACCAGCAAAATCCATGAGATAGTGCATAGGAGTTATATTTACAGAGCATTGTTGTCATTCTCTCTTGCACGGATGATGATAATAGCAAAATCATTTCTGAGGCTGTCACAACACACTTTCCAAACACTATCTTTTGTTTTGAAATGTTATAAATCATTGGTATAGTCTCTGTAATTATGGAAAGGCCATTCAGGTCAATTATTACTTTTTAATCGGAAAAGTATTTGAAAACACTGAATAATAGTAGGTCAGATGATCTTTTATTTCAGTGTACATAAAACATTGTATTTCTTTTAACAGCAGATTGCTGTCCCCCGAAATGATGAATGGGCACGGTTTGGCCGAACACTTGCAGAAATTAACGCAAACCGAGCGGATGCAGAGGAGGAAGCAGCTGCCCGAATACCTGCTTAGCTCCTGAAAAGAGAATATGTAGCCGTAGTGGATTTGGGGAAGACTCTTAAGTAGATCCTAGAACTATTTGCATGCTTCAGTCTAAATGATAATTAAAAGGAAATTTCGTGGATTAAACTGTGGATTCAATGCAGCAAGCAAATCTTACAAAGTCCTTTTTTATATAACATGCATCTTGTTTTGGATTTGTGTCATTTTTAATGCAGCTGATTGACTTTACAGAATGCAGCCTTTTCTGAATTCTTATACACAAGTGTATATTTGGTATTCTTTTGAAGTCTTTTCAGCTTATAACACTATATACAGTTATTTCTAAAGCACAGATTAAGTAAGTTCTACATATTTTTAAATAATCACAATTCCCTGTTATACTGATAATGTTCTCACTAACCATAATATGTAGGAACATTGTTTATTCTTAGCCATAGCATGAATACATCTATCCAGTTCCATTCTGATATTCTTTTTTTCTTTATAATTCATGTGATAACAATCTATAAATAAACACAAATATGCTTTAACTTTTCAAATTTTCATTTTGATTTACTCCTTGCAATTAAAATTTTATTAAATTCTGCTGCTTTTATAAAGTATCTTTTTTTATCTCTTTCTTTAAGCTCCTGTTGTAAGCAGCCACCTCAAACCTCATAAAGCTTTGTGCCTTAAATATACCATATAGTATACTGTAGATCTCCCAGTGCATTATGAGCTGATGTCTAGATAATCGATGTCAGTGACAAAATTTTTCCTAGGTTAATTTTTGTTTTAATCCCTTTTTTCTTTCCATCTAAGATAATTTAAAGAATAAACAGAAAGCTGCCTATTATTTTCACTGATTGAGATTATACGTGAGCCCTCTAAGACTGAAACCTCCTTTGAGAGAAATTGATTTTGTGGTTGCAGTGGCCATGAAGGAAAGTGCTCAAATGAATTTTGTCATTGAATCAACTCCACATCTTGAGATCTGTTACTACAACCCTATCTATAAGCCTGAAAGGTAAGTGGCAGATATCTAAGAATTTGTGTTGCAGTCAACCTGTTTCAGGACTAGAGAAAAGGATTATGCTCAGATACTGAATTTATCCACTTTAAATTGTCCATTTCCTTGATCCTGACCTTTTGTCTTTCCAAAGTTTAACTGTCATTTATTCAACAACATGAACTAGGAAGGAAGAGTAGATGCCAGATTTTGAACATTTTTGTTTGGTTTGATTTTCTTAAACTAACAAAGATCTGCTGGGAAATGAATTAAGTAATTTATTCTTAACTATGAGTATTGTATAGTGTGAGGAATAATTGACCTGGAATATTAGACCCAAATTCTAATTCTAGCTCTGGCACTCATGGGAAGTGTGATTTTAGCCAACCAAGTCTTTCCATCTGACTTCTTTATTATCTAGGAATTAAGTTAGGATTAGATGATTTCTAAATTTCCTTCCAGCTCTAAAATTATTGATTGTAATTACTTCAGGCAGTTCTCTATTTTTATATATTCAGTTTTCATAAGTTGACACCTCATAATTGCCTATTATATACCAAAGATTTTTTTTAATATCAGCAGGCAAATAAGTTATCTCATGGTGGTAATGTCTGTGAGTCAAAAATTCAATATAGCAGGGTCACACTGTCTTAGTATAGAAGTCATGTAATCACTAAAATAGTTATTGCATTCTTGCCCACCATTTATATAAATGACTAGAAAAAGAGAAAACATAATTATGATTAAGGTTGGAAATCACGAGATGTGGCAAATCCAGCTGCTCATGGGATTCAAGTTGATGTATCCAATTGTGAAAGAATAAAATTGGTGTTTGTAAAATACTTGTCACCAAAGAGTTTTTGCTTTTTGGAAACAACTTGCCCTCCCCTCCCCCAAAATGCAGTGTGGACCTTTATCTTTGCCCATTTAACTTTAGTCTACATTTTTAAGAACACATGAATTTAATGTGAGGAATTGCCTTTTAAAAGTTGACTATGTAATAGCAAAAAAGAAAGTACTGAGGCTGTCAATATTGATATGAAATCTTCTGACAGATTAAGCTGACTAGAAAAGTGTTGCAGCTCTTCACTCTTTTAGAAATGAAAACCTTATAATTTAAAAAAATATCCACTTACAGAAATTGTACTTTATTTGTTACCGGTTATAGTTTTTTTCTGAGTGGGAAACAAGCCATAGCTTTCTAGCTAATTTCTTGTTTTGTGTTTATTGTTTGGTTGTTTTCTTTTTGAATGAGAAGTTAAAGATTATTGGTTACCCTCGTTTGTGTAGAGGAAGAATACTTAGTTTTGCAGACAATAATTAACTTGCAGTAAACCTCAGAAATAACCATTGTTTGGTATCATTTAAGCCAAAAAAATTAAAATTCATTGGTAGAAGCCATCTTCTGGTTTATTGATCCAGTTCCCTACAAAGTTTAGAAAATCTCTAGATATAAAATATTGTTGCAATGATGCTGAGATATTGCATATTGAAGGAATGGATGACTTAAAAATTTAGGAGGAGGAACTAAAGGAAAGTAGTGTTAGGGATGGTCCTTGTCTTTCAATATTGTAAGAGCGTTGATTCATTCTGTTCTGTGCTAGTACTGATAGACTGTAACCTCTACCACTTGAACCATATGGAAAGGAAGGTGCTTGAATGAGTGAATGAAAATCTGTGAAGTGTACAATTTTTCATCTTTCCATTTTGTCGGGCAATGCTTTTTAAATGTCTTTCCCACAATCCTGGTATTTTAACATTGGCATTGTGATATTTTATAATTAGAAAACGGTGTACAATTAAGTACATTGGAGAGAATGGAGCTCTGATTATAGCTCCAGCTGCTCAGTGGCTGTGAGAAGCAAGTTGTTTCAAACATGACATAGTGCCCGAGGTGGTGGTATTATGCCTGAATCTTGGGCATAAGTCTAGGTAAAAAGCCATCGGTTTTGCCTCATTTGATGGTTTAGTGATGGGATTCCCATTGAGATTCCCCACACACACACCCCGCCCCAAGATAGAGGCAAGAAACGAGTTCTTGCTTTCCTGCTATTATCTTGCTGATTGCTAGGCAACTAGGGACCTTACAAGTTTGGGAAAAATACCTGGGAATCTCTCTCTCTCTTTTTTTTTTTTGGTTACGAGGCATTTGGGATCTTAGTTCCCCGACCAGGGATCGAACCCACGCCCCGTGCATTGGAGGCACGGAGTCATAACCACTGGACCGCCAGCGAAGTCCCAGTGGGAATCTTATTTTTGATTCATTAAAAAATGCTAGGAAATTATTTACTTAGAGATCTGGTTTACAGGTTCTGGGGGCCTCTAGTGCTACCAAAGAATAGGAAAGTTACCCCAAAGGCAAGAAGAAAAGAACGGCCATGTTCATTATTTCTTTTGAAGTAGAGGATTACAATTAACATTCTTTTAACTAATCAATTTTAATGCCCTAAGAAGGTAATAATTTGCTTGCACTTAATATATTATAATTTTTAAATCCTTTTCACGTATAAGAAACACGTTTTAGAGAAAGATCCTACAATCCTAACCAGAATGCCAACTGGAAGACTTTGAATAGTCATCACATTGTAATGCTTTTCTCAATAGAACAGTGCTCTCAGACCTTTTCTTGGAATTTAGATGTACAGATTCTCTTTCTGCCTGCCATGTTCACTGTCCCCAAACTTCTTAAAGTTCAAATGGGTTTCTGGTATTTAAGTTTTCAGTATGTAGCTTCCAGCCACTGATAGTTTGAACATAGCCAATCAGCAATCTTTTACAAACTTTTCTAAAATTACAGTATTTTGTGTTGTTAGTTTCATAGCAGGAATCTCAGTTTTGGCTTCTTAATATTCCATTACCAGTTCCCAGTCAGAGGACGGAATCAGCTTGCACTCAGGTAAGCTTTCAGAAAAGTCTGTTTCACTTTGTGAGGTCGTTTATTCAGGTCTGTGGTAATGTATTATCCTGCCTCTCTTGTAATGCACTTGATTTGGTTGGAAAGCTGTGGGGCAGTGATTGTGTAGGTGTGGAACACACCCATGTGGTGCTGAACACGCTGAGACCCGACTCTGTGACTCCGGAAATCAGTGTACCACCAGTAAGGCTTTGATGGCGAGTAATTTTATCTTTTGTGAATTTTTGTAGTAGATTAAAAAAAAATTTTTTTTCTGAACAAATAGAAATGCTTTGGATCAAAATCTTTTATACTTAAGGGTGGCTTGGTATATGGAAAAAAAGAATACTGGGCTCAAAGGTCCCAAGTTCTATTTCTGAAACTCCCCATTACCAGTAATATCACCTGGGACAAGGATCAGTATTCTCATGTTAAGTGATGAAAATATTTGCTTTCTGTGAAGGTTACATGAGATATATGTGAAGACTTGTATATTATGAAGTACCAAACAAATAAGGGATTCTTTTTTCTTTTTTTTTTAAGAATATAAGAATGGAGAGAGACCATTTTATGTAGCCATCTGTGCAGTGTAACAAGAGCTAATCTAAGGATTAGGTGGCTTGGTGTTCAAGAAAAAATTTTTTTAAGAAATCACGTCACAACTTGAACTCTCAGATGTTTAGGAGTAGAAGTGAACTGAGGGAGAAATATTAATTGTCCTTAATAATACTTTTCCTAGGAGTATTTTCTCTTACTGCACTCTATGGTAGAATTACAAATTATGCTAGTAGAAAAAAATGACCCACTCAGTTTCCAGCTGATACTCAGCTCTTGCTCTTATGTTAGTTACATAACTAACATATCTGGAGCCTTAGAAAAGGGGAGGTGGAACCCCTTTTTCAAATCAATGAGAAAACAAACTTGATCCAGCTACATAGTAGTAGAACTGGAATCAGTCACTTCCACGAAAATCTGGGGAACAGTAGTTACTCAACTGTTACAACTTATGAAGTACCCATCCGTCTTCCCTAGGGTCAGTCCCCTTGGAAATAAGACAGGCTCATTTTAGGAAGATGGTCACTAGAAAGAGGAGCTTTGGTCCTTGAGGATCTGTGTTTGGTTGCCAGGCGTAGAGGAAGCCCTAAACTTAGTTCTGCAGGAATAGCTTTTATCTAACTCATATCTAGATTAGTAGATCTCTGCTGTCCCATTGTATCCAAAATATGATTTCCAGAAATAAGTCAGAACCTGACTTGTTAATGAATACTAATTGAGCAAGAAACTTGGTAAAATGACTAGGCCCTTCTTTTTTTTTTTTAAATAAATTTATTTATATTTTATTTATTTATTTTTGGCTGTGTTGGGCCCGTTGCTGTGCACGGGCTTTCTCTAGTTGCGCCGAGCAGGAGCTACTCTTCGTTGCGGTGCATGGGCTTCTTATTGTGGGGACTTCTATTGTTGCGGAGCACAGGCTCTAGGTGCGCAGGCTTCAGTAGTTGTGGCTCGGGATCTAGAGTGCAGGCTCAGTAGTTGTGGTGCACGGGCTTAGTTGTTCCACGGCATGTGGGATCTTCCCGGACCAGGGATCGAACCTGTGTCCCTTACATTGGCACATGGATTCTTAACCACTGCGCCACTAGGGAAGTCCCAACTAGGC